GCCAAACCTGACATGCTCTTCTCTGTCATTGTAGACCGCAAATACCTCATTCCTTTCGTCTACTTGGATCCGAAATACTTCTCGTTTTGCGCTGTCCCCCCATTCAAATGAAATCGCCACCAATCATATTTCCACGCTCGCGCCAGGGCCGGGGGAGGGGTTACAAAGCTCGCGTCTTGTGCTGCATTCACTTGCACTCGGACATTAGAGATTTTCTCTCATAAATGTCCGATGAGCCACAACTTTTATTTCAAAACAAAGCTGCCAACTGGGGTGGCAACTAGGGTGGCAAGGCATTTTTCTGAGATGGCAGCTGCCACCCCGTGCCACCCCATAGAACCGCCACTGACCTGGCCACAAAGGTCCCTTCTGTTCTTTTCATGCATGTCCCATGAGAGTCAGCACGTCTGTGAATGTGGCCGTGTGTTTTTCATAGTGGTTTGCTTTGATAGCACAGAAGCTAGAAAAAAGCCTCCAGGACCTTCTCTGTGTGATGTCATCATGACACAGACACAGCAGTATTTTGGTACTTGGACTCCCCAAACTCCAAAACTTTTGTCAAGCCACAAAGTTCATGTCTTACCAGGTTCTAAATGACTCAGCATTTGGCCAAATACAAGATCCGATATAAACTAGTTATATCTTTAATTGTATAAATCTAATCATCTGTTGATTCTGACTGATACAATTGTGCACTTTTGTTTTAACATGTATATTGATCCATACACAGAATTTAGTAGTTGTATGCATTTATATGTACAAAGCTATTATGCGGCTCAAATCAAAACTTAAAATCAATGTTCTGTAATGAAAAGAGAAATATAAAAATACTGTCTCTTTCTTTCTCACAAGCACTGTGCAAACTGTGCACATTAGCAAGTAGGCCCTGTGCATCACTCTGCTTCACACAACATCCTGTTTCAACAGGAAACGCTTCAAATCAAGGTAAGGTAGCGGCCATAGGTAGCGGCTCATTGTGACCTTTAGGATGACAAACAAAGCCATACTGTAGATACAGGCTATGCCTTTATACTGGTCAATTAGAGTACATTCTGCCATGATAATCTGAATTAGTAACAACGAACAGCTCTGTTGCCACGCTGCTGTTATTGCACTGGACACCTCACACAAAAGAATATAAAATAGTCAGTTGCAAATTAGGTAAAGACAATATTTGGAAAATAAACGTACGATTATTTTGCATGAGAGAAAGTTCTTGATCTTATGACCATGCCGCTGACCCTCGGGACTCAAGTGCAAAGACTTCAGACAGAGGTTATCTCAGAGCAGTGTTATCAAAAGTTCAAGGCTTGGTTATATAAACCTCTCCATAACATCTGATGAGAATGGTAACCGATCCCATGGTGGGTTAGATCTTAATGATTGTACCAACGTAACCAAGGGCATTAACACAAAATGCCAGTGATCTCCAGTGATTTAACATTTCACTTTTGTGAGGAACACTGAATCCAACAATTCCCATGGTGCAACTTGATGTCGTATTTTATTCCACCCACATCTTTCCATCTCCACTCCATAAAGCAATTTCTCATCAATGTGAAGCCTCTGGGCATGAGGGTCACTTTCTCAGACATTTTACAAATGTTTTGGGTAGTATTCCTCCTCTTGATTAATAATCTTGGCTTCATGAGCAACATTTCGTTTCAAAAAGGCACTCGTTCAAGTTTCCAAGCCCTTCAAGTTTACATGCTTAATGATAACACACATACTTGGCAGCATTTTTGTATTGTAATCATTTCCTGTAAAATGCTGGGTTAGTAATGTCACCTTTCAAGCCTCTGGAGGGGATTAAGGAAATTCTCCTTCAAAATTCCTAGCAAAATATATCTATATGTGAAAATCAACAAAGAATGGGAGAAGGATCAATAAAACTCCCATGTTTGATCCTTCACAGCATTCTGCACAGACAGACTTCAACTGACAATTAACTATTCTTGAAGAACTGATTCAAATCTTATAAACAAAAAAAAACTTGAAACTGATGATACTTTGAAGTGATCTTGGGGAACATTTACTTTCTGTCCTAAAGGTCAACAAAAACACCGATCACTGATTATGTGATGATGGTGTGGAATATGTGGCTGTGCAGGTGTGTGAGTAGTTCAGGGACACCACGACGTTACTGCTGCGGAGGAACTGGAAGCTACCATAAAAACCTCTGATGTATAACAACCTGCTCTCACACAGCTGCACCCGTCACTTCCTGTATAATCAGGTCAGGCCTCAACATACAGGGTTCAGACCACTGTGACAAAATACACAACGGAATCAGACTGTGTCGGAGGGGAGATCGGGGGTGGTTTTAACACCGTGGCTTTACCAAAATAGGGTGACAGGAGGGGCATCAGACCACTCCCTGAAGTAATTTCTTCGACAAAGTCTATATTTTGAACCTGTTATGCTGAAATTAGAATGATGTAACTTGTATTAGATTAGAGAGTAGTTTCTTAGGTAAAATGTGTGGTATTTTATAAATGCTAATTTCAAACCACCTACAGTTCTACAGCTAGCTTAACATTGTCTGACTCTGCTGAGTTCAATGACACCTTCCACATAAGTCTATGCCAAACAGTTCATAAGTTATGAAGTTAAGTTAACTGTAGGGCACAGGGCTAACGCAAACCAATGACACAGGAACTCCGTAGGTATTTCACAACAAAGTATTGAGTACCAAATCGATGCCGAAAGGGACTTTTTCTCAAAGTACTGCCAGTATCATGTTGTTAAGATAACGCCAGGACATCAGACTAAAGACGTCCCGGGGCGTCTATCATTTTTCCAACTCAGTTGAGATATAACCACCACGACTTTTGCACTAGCGTAGATCTGCGCGACTGTGTCATGGATGTATAAAGAGAACGTGTGGTCCCCATGTTAACAATGCTGAACTATATCACGTCAACACTTCCTGGCTGCTGAGGCAACTACCTTTGGCGACAGTGCAAGTGAAGCCATGCTGAAAAACGTAACAGCGGTCATGGGCAAACTGAATATTGTTTATCCTTGACAGTGTTGGAAAGTAACAAAGTACATACTCAATTACTGTACTAAAAACAAGCTATTGGGCTACACATTGTTTGCTAGTTTATTATATTTAAATTCAAGGTGAATTGTTACTAAAAGATTATTTAACATTACCTCAGCTATGCATAACTATGATTGTCTTTCATAAAAAGAAAGCGCTATTTTCATCAATCTACTAAAAGACACTATGAAGCGACTGTAGCTGTCAAATTCATATTTTGTGGGATGAAAACACCAAGGGTGACGCTCTGAAGTTGATGCTTAGTCATGCGGAAGTGGGCTTGGTTGAATCTCAAGGTATATGATGATGGTTCATAGCTTCATTCAATAAGAAACACTATTAGTCAGAGGTAAATGCATGCTGTGTTTAAATGTAGCCTTGTTATATTGAGATTTTGGCAAGAAACCTGAATAAAGACAGCTGTTTGAAGGAGATATTTTTACAGCAATAATAGATGTTTGAGGGATAATTATGACCTGTTTGACATTGGAACAAGAACCAGAATGCAAACTAAAATGAATTAGAATATGTTCAAGTCCATTGGATTTATTTTGTATTTGTATTCTACCATGGTATTGAATTATAATTTTTAGAATGTGGTCTTTCCCTAGTATTGATATCCACTGATGCTATTGAGACACCCTCACCCCGCTGAGACAAATGAGGCCTTTCACAAGAGTCAACTACAACTTGTTCATTAGGTTGGCCATGCTATGTGAACCTGTCTATAGGTTTCTAGTTAGCATGAACATAACAAGACAGATCACACCAACACATGAGACTTCCGATTCACCCTAAAGTTCAGCCTCCTATAATGTGAGCCCCAGACTCGCCTCATGACAAAGAGACCTACAGAGCTGCTGGTCACAGATACAAAGTGTCACACATGACCCACAATGATACATTAGCAATTAGATATACTGTACATGTAGAGATAAACATATAGTGCATATTGCAGTGGTGAATAGTAACTACAAAGTAACATTACTCAAGTATAGCACTTGAGTACTTCTTTTGACATACACACGTGTACACTTCTTTAGTATTTCCATTTAATGCTAATTTATACTATCACTCCACTACATTTCAGAGGCAAATATTGTACTTCTAACTTCACTACATTTAGTTTAACAGCTACTTTGTAGATATACATAAACATACATTTGTACTGATAAAGTGCAATGCAGTACTGTTCTAACATTCTACACAGTATTTAATCATTGCAATACTAAGTATTCAAATTGGTTCCACATCGAGAAAACTACCAAACTAAAATGCTGTTACTCACATGTAGAAAAACCGAATAATATAATACCCAAAATAATAAAACACTGTGAAATGATCCATTCTGCATAACCAGTACTTTTACTTGAAGTACATTAAGCTGATAATATGTATGTACTTTAGATTATTCTAAATTGGCTATTGTGCAGAATAATCACTTTTAGTACTTTAAGTACATTATGATGCTAATTATTTTTTACTTAGGTAACATTTTAAATCAGGACTTTTACTAAAAGTGGATTATTTGAGACCATAGTTCTAGTGTGGATTCATCTAATTTATCATTTTTAATTTTCATTGTTGCAATTGTGTTGTTGTGGGGCAGGATGCAACAGTGAAACTCCTTGTACATGAAAATGTGAGACCTCAAACTAAATAATGAATAGCTAGTTCGCTCAAAATTGTCACAAACAACCCGGCCTCCCCCTGTCTGTCACATCCACGACACGTGGCAAAATAACGCCATAAATGGGTGACCAGGATTTGACTTTTGTGCCGTCTCATCTCCAAACATTTGACCCCCTTTATCGGACTGCTGATTGTTGTTTTGTTCATGGAGGAATCTGACAGTAAGGTCTTTGTTCTGAGGCTGCGTCCTGCGCAAAAAACAAGTGTCACAAGTGACTTTCAGAAAACTTTCCCTGTGTGTCTTAGTCAGGGCTGCACTCACCGACAGTGGTGACCAGAGTGTTGGCGAAGAACATGGAGGAAGCCAGGTCCCAGTTGGAGGTGGTGGAGGCGTTTCTGAGCACGGAGACGCCGTACTTGTTGGCCGCCAGCACTTTGAGCAGAAAGCGTTCCAGCGCCGCGTCACTAACGCAGCTCAGGTTCAGGAACTCCTGCTTCAGGACTTCCAGCTCGGTGCGCATCCGGTCCTCCATCGGCCGCTCGATGCTGGAGAACACCAGGGCTCCGAATAGCAGGTAGATGACATAGAAGAGGATGAAGCCTGTCAGCAGCAGCCACGACCTTCCCACAAAATGCATGTCTGCGAACTCAGGGATCACATCTGCTCATGGGACTCCCTCTCTGACTGCTCTCTTCCTCTCCGTGTGACGGCTGGGGGAACATATTTTGGGGGCTGTCCTAATTGAACTTGAACCCCTCCTGTTCCAACATCCTCCTCCCACAGCAGGGTGTGTCCACAGCAGAGTCCTGGAGCTGCATCCTGGATCCTGGAGGAGTCTGTAACTAGTCCCACTGGAAAATAACCCTTCTGCTGTTCAAAGACATGATCTATTTTCCAAATGTCCCCAAACGACACCCTTTTACCAAAGACAACCACATGTGGAAGAAGTACTCAGATCTTGTATAGTACAAGTACCAGAGTGTAGGAATACTCTGTTACAAGTAAAAGTCCTGCATTCAAAATGTTACTCAAGTAAAAGTACAAAAGTATTAGCATCAAAATATACTTAAAGTACAAACAGTAAAAGTACTCATTAGGCAAATTAGCCAATTTCACAATCATATATTATATGTTTTGATTCTACTAATCTATATTATGTATATATTGTTTATCATGAATCTATATCTACAAAGTGACTGAAGGTAATACATTTATGTAGTAAAAGTAAACTATTTATCACTGAATTGTAGTGGAGTAAAAGTAAAAAAGTACAGCACTTAAATATATACTACACCGCTCTGTCCTTGTTTTTCTTTTAAGAGCCATTAGTAAAAATAAAAGCTCATACTCCGTTTTATTTACCAAACTATTAATCTTATTTTCCTTATTTTTAATAAACTTTTATTTGCTCTGCCTGATCCAAAACAACAAGGAAGATTTTGGCTGCCATCTTCGTTTGGTTAAATTCACAGAGTTGCAGATTAGTACATAGAGTTTAGTAATTGTTTAAGTATCTGTGTGCACAGTTGTACAGGCCCTTTCAGGACATTTAGGTTTCTGATCCATGTTTTCAGATCCAGATGTGGCCCACACCCTTCCTGTGATGTAGTCTCATCTGACTCTGAGGTGGAGCTCTCCACACTGACGCGGCCTGGAGAGGCAGAGAGATGTGGGCTGTCTTTGTTCCTCTATATCAGGGGTCTCCAACCTTTCTTCATCTGAGAGCTACTTTGAAAAAATGAAAGTGGCCAAGAGCTACTTGCATCACATCGCTTACATTTATTCACATAGCCCTCATCAGTTGAATTAAGCTATACTTTTGTACACGTGTGAAATTGCAATACCTAAAGCTTATCAAAAATCTTAACTTCACATCAAGGTCCACGAAAACGAAAATGTCTCACATATTATTATGGCCACCACAGTAAGTAGCCTACATCACTGAAAATGCACATAAATATCCTTAATCAGCACCTTACAAGCATCTTATGGCACATGTTTAAAATAAGTGCATTCACTCTTTTTCACAGTTAGTGAGAGGACTGGCACTGCATGGAGTCCACCAGCGGTGTATGCTGGAGTGTACCCACTTAGGTTTACTCTAATAGAGTGAAGATCGTGATCGTTGTTCTAAAGCCCAGGAGGAAGTTAAAAAGAGACGATGTAGTCTCGAAAAGGTTCAAATGGGTAATTTAATAAAGTAACGTGGTTTTGAAACAGACAGAGCAAATCAGGAACACAGCGCCATGTTCGGAGGAGGGTTAAGGAAGGGCCGAGCAAGCCCCGTGCTCTGGGTGTAAATCTGATTCCTGGCTCCTCCTCTCATTGGCTGCTTCGACGATGGGGGGTATGTCCCTATGGGATTAGTTTTGTATCATAAAGATAAAGCAACACTTTCTCAGAATAAAGCAAAACTATGAGTTTAAAAGAAAAAAAAATAAA